GTAAGGCAGAGGCAACTTTGATAATCAGATTTCCATTATCAGTTGCTTATTGAAACAAACAAAAAAAATCAGAGTAGAATCAAGTTTCAAATATAAAATCCAAATACCTATAAACATTTTTTTTAAAGTTTGCCCTTGAGGTCACGAGACCAAAAGGTAAAATACAAATCACAGGCTGTAAGAAGGTATTTCTCCAACCTACTACTTTCTAGTATAATTAATATTTCTAATGTAATTAATATCCATAATACACCTCTCAAAACTCAGTCCCATGGAGTAGATTTCTGTGAGAAGTTCTAGAAACACACTGGTTAAGCGCTTGGTGGCCATCACAAAGCCACCAGAAGAAAGAAAAGATGTGGCTCTGTGCTCCGGTCCAGGTTAGTCCTGGAAACACTATGGCCAGTTGTAATCTGACTGCAGGCAGTTCTAAAGACCACAGCCTTCAATATGGATTACTTCTCAGTGTCAAGAAAACAAAATCCTCACCGCTGTGCTAATAGGCAACATTACGAGAGATGGAGAAAAGACTGAAGTTGTCAATGATTGCATTTTCCTTGGACCCACAATCAACACCTAGGGTAGCAGGAGTGAGAAATCATGCCTTGGGTTGAAGGATCACTTCAAAGGGCTAAGGTGCAGGGATGTCAGTTTAGAGGCTAAGGGGAGTCACGGTCTCTTCAATTACTTCCTATGCTTCTGAAAATGTGGATAATGAATGACAGAATTAACGCCTTTGAGTCATGGTGCTGGAGAAGGGTACTGACTGACTTCAGTCATGGCTGACTGAAGTGCACGTCTATGCTGGCGGAAGGGCAGTCCAGTGCTCTAGGTAACCAGGCTGCAACCAGGTAGAGTGTTGAAACTTCATCTCTCATGCTTTGGCCATGTTGTCAGGAGGGGCCAGTCTTTAGAAAAGAACACCATACTGGAAAAGGTAGAGGGTCAAAGAGACCCTCAACAAGATAGGTTGACACAACAAAGCACAGAGGAGTCAATTTTGACTCAGCAGCCCTCACCTTCCAAGGCTAGAATTCTTTATGGGAGCATCTGGTGGATTTACTGACCATTCAGTACGTAGCCCGACACATACCCACTACGCCACCAGGACCCCTATGCGACGGAGAAGACTTTAATGAAAGTTTACAGAGATAGGGTTTCCAGTCATTCATTGTTGCACTTTTCTCCCTTCCCACCCTCTCCTCCCCAATTGACTCTTCTCCTTGAAAAGCAAAAGAAAAAATCTCTCATTGTTATGCAATCTCTCCCCCACCCCAAGTCCACTCCACTATGTAGCCTTCATTCTGGACTTCTGTAATGACAAGAATACCCAATCATATATCCCTTTTAAACAGTTCTCTCCCTCATCTGTTTCAATGCAGTATACATCATTGATCCCCTCCTCTGTTTTCCCTCAACCCCAATGTCAGTCTTGTTTTACAATATTTGCAATGTTTGTCCATTTGTGATTGATATTTCACTCAGCATAATGTCCTCCAGGGTCATCCATTTTGCACGTTATTTCATGAGTTCTTTTTCAAAAGTATTCCATCGTGTATTTTTCAATAGTTTTCTGTTGTGTGAATATACCAGAGCTTCTCTATCCATTTGTTTGTTGGTGGGCACTTGGGTTGTTTCTAGCTCTTAGCTATTGCGAACAAAGCCACAATAAACATGGGTGTGCATGCATCTGTTTGGGTGGCAGTTGGGGAAGACATTTCTAATGAGGTTTTCTGCTCCTTCAGGGAGCTCTGGTGGTACAGTGTGTAGGGTGTTGTGCAGCTGAACCACACCTCTCCCTCTGGAAGTTTGATCCTACCAGCTGCTCTACAGGAGACAGGCCCTCTCCTCCTGTGCAATTCTCAGCCTCTGAAAACGAACTGGAGAGTGAGCTGTGAGTCAGTTCTGATTTGATGGCAATGAGTTGAGTTTTGCTTCTTGTAAGTGAATCCATAATGGTATTCTCTTTAATCAAAACAAAATGCAAACCTCTAAAGAATGTACTAATTCCAATAAGTTCTTCATGACTATAAAGACACTGTTATTCTCATGTAGGCTGGAGGCAGGAATTTTGCAAACTACACAAATAGCTGTTGCTTTACCAGAACCACCCTAGCTTTGCCCTGTACTTTCCCAGTCACAAAACGCAGTAAGACAGAAAGAGCCTGTCGGTGTTTTGCAGTGTCAGCTACATTTAGAAATGTTACGTAGGAAATAAAATTACTGCCCTGCAAGTATTTAAAGTTCAGTTTGCAACATTCCTTTGTGAACTTTAATACATAGTTTCCTAAAAATGTTGTTTAGATATGTATTCCAACAGGAGAGAACAGTTCCACTTATGAACAGGAACTTGAATTGTTTTCTAACTTCTCTCCCATACTGAGCATCCACTCAACCTGATCTCAGCCCCTAGAACTCTGCAGAAAGCTTTCATCTAAGCATCAGCATGGTTCTGTAACAATGAAATAATCACGTCAGTAAGAACATTTTAACAAAATGAATTTATTTAGAAGTCTACAAAATATTACAGTGCGAGGTGGTGTGGTGTGATTTTTTTTTAAAAAAAAACCTCACAGAATTTAATTGATAAATACAAAAGTAATTGGCTATTAACAATGTAAAAATGCATTTCCCAGTTCCCAAACAGAATATAATTCAGGTCCAGCAATTATAAAATTTCTGTATCATAAGTCTATTTCCCTTATGGTTTTTAAGAACCATTCTGAATAGTTTACTGATAAGAAATAACGTACTAATGTTACCCGTTAGTAAACTTAGGGAGGTGCATACTAATACCCTTCTAGTCGCTGAAATCCACCAGCAGCTTTGTGGGAATCTCGTCCTGCGTGATCTATAGCCTTGGAAAACCTGCCAGACGGTCAGCTATGAGTCAGTTCCTACTTGACAACAACGGGCAACAACAGTACATTTACCAGATGAGAAAAATGTATTTTCAATTGACTGAGTTCATTTAGTTTGCCCTTTCACGTATCTTAAGAGTGGTTTTATAATCCCAGTTTTGCTTGAACTTTTTCACCCGCATAATAAACATTTCACTCCTAATTCCTTTTGCAATAGGAGGTAAACTCGTTATGAGTCCCATATAAAGAAATGGTTGTTAAAGTGACCACAACCACTAGTGAACATGTTACCTGAAAAGGACAGGCTCAAACGGCCAGCTAAGAGCCCGCTCCTGCCCCAGTGAAGCAGACGAAGCAGCAGGACAGACCCTCGATGACCGCTTGCTTTCTGTGTAAGGCCAGCTCAGAGGACTCCCTCAAATGCAACTAAACCCAAGGCAGGGGCAGGAACCCCAAGGTAGCCCACTTGGCATGAAGAGATTTCTAGATAGAACTATCTGGCATTGAAAATGACAGTAGTACTATCTGATGTGAAATTCCAGAACTTATGCACCAAAAGTGGTTATTATTGAATCAGTCTTAATTCTTTCTTTGTTGTTTGGATGACAGGCTCAATAAAAATAGCAACCACGATCAGTTTCCTCATCTCCTCAGTAAGCAGTAGGGACATCACCACAGACACCAGCATCTAGCTCTGATGCATGTGGATAAGGGCCGAAGTCAGTATGACAGAGCAGACTGGCCAACTGACCAGCTTCTAAGAGCAAGGCTAGCCATGAGGAACTAAAGTCACTGAGTCCTGTCTACACATCCAAAGGGCAGATGGGAAAGAAAGGATGGAATCATTACATCACTACATTTAATCATTTTCAAATACGATCCCACTGTTTCAGACAGGAAACTAGTCTGGAGGCCTCAACCTATGGGCTTACAGGCCTCACACTTGGAGGATCAGGAAGGTCTGTGCGGAAGCAAGGGCCCCAGTGACCTTGTTACCCGCTGTAAAATGACAAGGTTCTGGAAGATTCTGTACCGCCTGCTGACAATTGCCAAGAGACAGAGTGACGCCTACCTCAGCTAGACAATAAAGCACCACATGGAACATTTGGTTGGATAAGAGGGCATCTTGAATAGATGAAATAGCAAACGCTAGAATGATGGGCCCAGACGAGCTGAATTTTAAGTAAAATCGGAGTCAGATGTCAACACGGGAATGAACCATTTCCTAAGTGACGTCTCTTCAGATCTGAGTGTTTGAAGTTTTACTATCACAGTTACTTTCACTATATTAGGCTAATTTTTTTTTATCTTTGGTTTTTTACAGAATGTTTCTGTTATATAACAATTGCCTTTTTAAAAAATTCACCAATATTTATCATCAGCAGTTGAAATACAGTACAAACCTGAGGTCACTTCTATATATATAAAATATCAATGATTCAAATATAATTACTGTTAGATTAAATAAGGCCACAGAAGGAGTTAGTAATAATTACCTTAAAATATCACCATATGATTTTAAGGCTGTGTGAGATACGGTGAGATTTGGCTGTTATATTTTGAGAGAAAAACCCAGACCATCATTTTAATCATTGGTCCTTAAATATACATTTCAAATTCTGTTCAAATGAACAGAATAACCAAATCATCATCTATTTAGTTACTTTTACCAAAAAACAAATTCAGAGCTAAATAAACTAATTTAAAAATTAAACCATTTCTCCAAAAATAAACATATAATTGCACTACTTATTCAGCTATAAAGCACAATTTGGAAGCTAAACCTAGCAAAATAACGTATTTTTTAAATGACAAAATAACTTATCATTAGTTGATCAATAAGACTTTTTTTTCTTGTGGAAAAAAACAAAACACAAAACGAGAAAACCCGAGAAGTCTTCACTCGTGGTGACTGCCACAAACACACACACACACACACACACACACACACACACACACACACACACCGTGGATAAGCACTGCTCCCTGCCTTCCCTCACTGTCCAGAAGCAGTTCACAAACACGCATCAGGAGCTTCGGCCAAGGCTCAGGCACCGCGCAGACACCTCCTCAGGTGCCTGTCACCCCCTCAGACGAAACCTGGTCCCCAGAGCGATGCGCTGAGTGAGGGCTCCGTCCCTAGGGAACATTAAGTGGGACGTTGACCTCTGTGCCACCAGTGCGCTTCTCCGGGTTCTTCGACTGGGCTTGCCGTTTTTCATGAAACATCAGAAAAACGTCAACCAGAAATGCAATACTTGCCAGAAACCCAAACACCTGAGGAAGAGGAAAAAAAAAAAGAAAAGGGAATGTTTATGTGGAGAATTCTAAACTATAATCTTCTGTTTCCTACTTGGCTCTGAGAGTATGTCAGACAAGCAGCAGATTTCACCACCGTGACCACAGACCCGACTCATTTTAGAGGGAGCTCAGGTGGTGTGTGTGGTGAATCACCTGGTGAACACAGGACATCTTGGCAGCTCAAACCCACCAGAGGTTCTGAGGACGAAAGAGGGGCCGTCTCCTCCCAGGATTCAGTGTCTTGGGAGCCTGATGGGGGCACTACCAGAACGACTCAATCGCACAAAGTCTGAATGTGAGATTTTCCCCCTGGTATTTTTCTCCACCGTGGCCTAGGCTTTCTAAGCTTGGTCCTACTTTGTCTCTTATGATCTTTAAGGCTTTGGGCTTTACCCCTAGGTCTCTGATCCACCTGGAGTTGAGTTTTGCATCTGGTGAGAGGCGTGTATCCTGCTTCAGCTCTCTGCACATAGTAGTCCAGTTTTGCCAGCACAATTGGTTGAAGAGGTTGTCGCTTCCCTATTTGATAGGTTTTGCTTCCTTGTCGAATATCAATTGACCAAAAATAGAAGGATTAATTTCTGGGTTCTCAATTCTGTTCCATTGCTTTATGTGCCTGTCATTGTACCAGGATGATGCTGTTTTGGTTATTGCAGCTGTATAGTAGGTTTTAAGGTCAGGGAAGGGAAGGTCAAGGTAAGGGAAGCTATGCTTCCCACTTCATTCTTGTTTTTCAAAAGTGCTTTGCTTAGGCGAGATTCCTTTCCTTTCCAAACAAACTTGAGAATTACCTTTTCTATCTCCTTGAAAAACAAATTTGGTATTGGGGTTGTGTTAAACATGTAGATTGCTTTGGGTAGGATTGTCATTTTCACTATATTAAGTCTCCCTATCCAGGAACAGGGAACATTTTCCCACTTAAGTCTTTTATTGTTTCTCACAAAAGTGTTTTGTAGTTTTCTTTGTAAAGGTCTTGTGTGTCTCTAGTTAGGTTTATTCCTAAATACCTCAACTTGTGGCTGGCTATTGTAGAAGGCACTGCTTCCTTAGTTTCCTTATCCGAGTGTGAGTTCTTATTTTAAAGGTAGAATTTTTTTAAAGTCACAAAAAATGGGGGGAAAGTCAGAAAGCGTTTTCCAAAGCTAATGCTATTAGTCACAGTCCCACAAAATACAAATGTCTTAGGTGTGTGGATGTACGGGTGCCACCAACTGAAACGAATGCCAGCAGCTGAAAATGAAAATCCTAGAAAACTGTACTAAACACAGGATTACTACTAGTGGCAACCTGCCCCACAAGGACAGTCACAGAAATGCGTGAGTGTGTAGCTGAACCCTGTTAAAAAACGGGGAAAGTAATTAATACCAAAACAAATGCTATTTTGAAGATACCATTATGCTAAATTACTTAAAAAATTTTTTTTCCAGTTAAAACCACGTTGTAATGACACAGCTACCAGATGACATAACACCACCCACTTCCTCTTCCTTAAATCACTTCCTCATTGTACTTTTCTCACATATGACCTAACATTCTGAGAATTCTGGTACAGGACTGAGCCCGGGGTTCAAATCAAACTTCTTCACTAAGAAAACACTTACATAAACGGGCCAGAGAAGTGCTTTGTCAGAGAGAAAATAGATCTGTAGTACCGAATTTGAATACTGCGCGATTTTTAGCATCCCTTGGCTGTCTGCTGCCGTCCTTTGGCCCTCCCGCCCAAGGCCTCCATCATAAAGGGTAGGTATGCATTCTGCCTCATTTCACCACACAGGAGCTCTGGTTAGCAGCAGTGGTTCAACCCTCAGCTGGTAAGCAAAAGGTACTCCGTTTGATGGCACCACTCGGCGAGAGAGATGTGACAATCAGCTCCTGTAAAGATGCAACACACAAACTTACCTCCACGGAGTCGGTTCCGACAAACAGTGGTCCCCGCTGGGTTCCACGTGTCTAAGGTCGTCAATCACCACAGGCGGCTGCCCCTCACTCCGCCTCAGACCCACACGGATTTGAACCCCCAAGCTTATTTGTTCCATACACTAACTGAATGCACATGGTGAAAAGAAACAACCCTGAGGCACAGCTTTCTCGACTTCAAATCCCTAGTTCTGTTGTAACAACTGCTTCCTGGTCCACAGACGTGTTCCTTCACGAATTCCCATTCTTCTCAATGCTATCTGTAATTTTTTACGATACAAAGCTGAATGCCTTTGCATAGTCAATAAAGTGCCAATAAGTATCATTCTGGTATTTACTGCTGTCAACCACCATCCTCCTGACTTAAGCAGCAAGGACCCCCACGGCCTCTTCTGAATCAAGCTTGACACCCCTTCATGTATTCATCTGTGTTCATAAGTTCTCTTCAGTAAAACATTTACATATGTAAATATGTATTTACAGTGGCATTGTTTCATAACTTCCAGATTCTATCAGATTACTTTTCTTTGGATCTGCCCCAGTCAGCTGCCATTTCTTGGTATAGATGAGCAAGGACCTTCACCATCGCATCTGTTGTATGAAACATTTCAGTTGGTATTCCGTCAATTCCTGGAGTCTTCTTATTCACAAACGCCTTCGAATCAGTTTAAGAGTTCTTCAGTATTATGAGTTCTTCAAATAATGGTTCAAGATGGTAACTCTTCAAACGACTGAGCAATCAGTTCTATTTGATGTGGTTCTCTGTATTCACAAAATACACTTTTTTTTATGCTTCCTGCATCATTTAATATTTTACCACAAGATCTTGCACTATTTTGCCACTTGAGGTATGAAATTTTTACTGCATTCTTTCAATTGAGAAGTCAAACATGCTCTTCCCTTTTGGTTTTCTTGTCATCAGACTTTTTTTTTGTCTTTTCAAGCTGCCCTTTGACATCTTCTGTTCAGCTCTCTTAACTCATCATTTCTTCCACTTGCTTTAGCTTCCCTACATTCTAGACCAAGTCACTACTGAGAAACCAAAATCCATACCCAGTAACTTCAAGGAGATTTCAGGTTTCTGAAGTGGTGGTAAATCTCCACCGGAGGCTGCCTATCTTTCCCCACAGAGCACCGGGCGGAAATGCTCATCTTTCAGTCAGCAGTCTGACTCGTTATGCACTCTGTCACCAGGGCTCCTAAGTCACTATCAGTGTTGTTGTTAGATGCCTGCAAGTCAAGTACAACCCACAGGGACCCTACAAACAGCAGTTCTGAAACCTGTCCTACCCTGTGTCCTCATCATCATCTCTGTCCTGCTCGGCACTCTTAAATAAATCCCACAAAGTCTCTGTGAGGGTAATCTAGGGAGCCCTGGCGGTCTCGTGTTAAGAATCTGCACTGCAATCCCGAAGGCACATGGTTTGGATCCACCAGCTGCTCTGTGGAAGAAGGATGGGCAATCTCCTCCCACGCAATTTACTGCCTCTGAAAACCCTCTGGAGGGTCAGCTCTGAGTTCGTTCCGACTCAGTGGAGCACAACAACAACAACAGTAGTAATCTAAGACATCATCTATAAATCTTAAAATATATAAAAATAAGCTTTATGAACTCTTGGACCATTTTTATTGATCATCCTGGCACGCTCCTCTGTAAACCACCATGTCAGGGTCACCCTGCCATTCGGCTAAGAAAGGAAGAACCTAACATAATACAGTCAACTTTATCAGATTCACTAACAATAATCTGTGCATACAGGGAATAATAAATGGATTTTTGTTAACAAATGTCAGTTCAATTCTAATGACAGGGTCTAGGTTTTTAAGATGATTACATTTATTTGCATTTAGATATTTAAGATGATTACATTTATTTGCATTTAGATATTTTAGTCAGAACTACATAAAGAAAACAGGTTAAAAGACAAACTATTCCTCCCATACTGTATAACTTTGGTTGAGTATTTTGTAAATATATTTCTAGGGAAGTAAAAAGAAGGGTAAAAAGCATGAGATACTTACAACTGCAGCGTGCTCAGCCGACGTCCTGTCATGTGTGGCAGTAAATATAATGGATGCTAACAAGAAGACAAGTCCTGTTCCCAGACTGATATAAAAATCCTACACACAAACATCAAACACATAACAAATACAGCAGGGTTAAGTTTTAAGTTTTACTTTTAAAAAATTTCAATTATTTACTTTTTTTCCCCTCACACATCCAAATGTAGACACTTCAAATCTTTTGTTTTTCAGCAAAGCATTTGGTACAGGCCCTGGGAAGGGACACCATCCACGCTCTGGACGGGGCATTCGGAAAGCATGTAACGAGATGGCCTTTTAATAAAAGATGCTGTGAACACACAGCCATGGAAGCGAGTGTGTACATGGTGGCCCTTTATTTTTCTCATGACATACTGTAAGTCTGAAAGTCAAAGGGTTTATTCAAATTCCATCTTACAGGAAATGAAAGAAAATGCTGTTTTCCCCTTCCAAAGTGTTCTTCACTAGAACGGCTCTTGTGATAGAGTAGTTCAGGGCACTGAAAGAGCCCTCGGAGAGACATCAAAAGTGCCGCCTATCTTTAAATGGCATTATCCCAACTGGGTTTTTTAGACTCTTAAAATCTGTCTATGGACTAACAGATCGCCTCCCACCATTCCACATGTGTAAATCCACAACAAGCGTGTGTGATGAGCTTAATTACGAGGTAGAGGCTTCCACATCTCGGCACGAGGCAGCTGACAGCCAGCGCCCCTCCTGGGTCTCACAGCTCCCAGGCAGCACCACGCAGGCTCTCGCAGACCACAGACACCAGGGCTGCACACACGGACGTGGTTCAGGGGGGAGACGGGAAAATCACAGCCACTCCAGAAGGCTTCCAGTCGGATCCTTTCTGAGAGTATTCCAAACCATCACCTCCACTACGTCTAGCATCAACAAAAGCATCTAACAGAGAGTTCTCTACTGTCCATTGCTCATGTTAACATTTGTAAGAAATTTGTTTCTGTTTGCTTCAAAAAGTTCTCCTGAAGTACCTCCACCATTGTTTTCTATTCTTTTTAACAATCTTTCCATTTGCTACAATAAAAAAACTCTACCTCTGTTTGAAATGCATTCAAGGGTCTATCTAGAAAGCCACTATTTCATGCACCATGGATTTTGGCTTTGGTTATTCTTACTGGAATCTGGCCCATAACAGCGCGGGAGAGAAAATATTCTCTTAGAATATTGCTCCTTCTAAATCCTATCACCACCACCAAGCATTCCTAATAGCTCTAAAACACAAACCTCTTCTGCACAGAAAACACTTAAAATTGAAGTATATTAATGTTTTGTTGTTGTTAGGTGAGCAAGGTGACACTAACCCAGGGAGAGCCTGTCTTTACACAGCAGAATGACGCACAGCCTGCATGTGTACTGTCCCCACGAAGGTCAGCACGTGTGCGTTCACGTTAAAGGCACTGTGTCACTGCATCACTGAGGCTCATCTTCTTTCTTAAAGACCCTCCACTTTTCCAAGCATGATGTCAGTTCCCAGAGACTGGCCCCTCCCAATAACATGTCCAAAATATGTGAGATGAAGTCTCATCATTCTTGCTTCCAGAAAAACCATTCCAGACCTACTTATTTCCAGCCTCAGTCCATGATGTACTCAATATTCTTCACCTACAGCCAAATTAAAATGTAAACATTATTCTTAGTCTTTCTTGATCACTGCCCAGCGTTGCATTGGCGTGAGGCAATCAAAATACCATGGCTCGGGTACAGCATACCTTAGCTCTCAGGTGTCCTTTTGCTGATTTGCCCAGTGCAAGGTGTCCTGTGATTTAACTGCTGCTTCCATGAGCACTGATTGGGGCCCAAGGGAAATGAAATCCTGAGCTCTGACCATCCTTTCCCCACTTCTCAAGATGTTGCTCGCCGGTCCAATTATGAGGACTTCTGTTTTCTTTAGGTTAAAGTGGAATCTGCAGTGAATGGAGAAGTCTCTGACCTCCATCAGGAAGTGTTCCAAGACTCTGTTTTCAGTAAGCAAGGCTGTGACGTCTGCATAATGTAACTGTCAAGGAGGCCTCCTCTAACCCTGAGGCTTCATTTATACTCAGATTTCTAGGCTCTCATATTATTTGCTCAGCATACAGACTGTATTACGTATGGTGAAAGGATACAGCCCCAACAGACAGCTTCACTAATGTTAAACCATCCAGTATTCCCTTGTTCTGTCAAAACTGCTGTTTCTTGGTCTATGTACAGGTACTGATGGCATGAACACAATTAAATGTTCTGGAATTCCCATTCCTCTTCCTCACATTATTATCCATAATCTGCTAGAATATAGGTGTCGTTCTGGTCTTCTCTGACCTCAGTCAAGGCCCATTTGACATCAGTCCTGCCATCCCGTCATTCTACGGCCTCTTTTGAAACCTTCCTTCAATTTTTGGCAGTTTCTAGTCAATGCTACAAGTGATTTTAAATGATCTTCAGTGAAACCTTGTTTGCATGTGATTTTAATGATACTATCTGATAATTTCCATATGTTGTTGATTACCTCTTCTTGACATGGACACATGAAGAGATATGGATATCTTCTACACTGTTGGCCAGGTGACTGTCATTAAAATTCCTTGACTGAATGAGTGAGTGCCCTGCATCTGCCTGTTGTGATATCTCCACTGGTTATTTTGCCAATTCCGGCCAGTGCCTTCAGCAGCTGAAGACGTCCTCCATCAATATGACTGGTTCCTGCTCATTTGCCACCTCCTACTGGCTGAACATGGACAACCTATTTTGGTCCAGTGGCTCTGAGTATCCTGCCTATTATCCCTTAATGTCACACAATACCTTGTCCACAGAATTCTTCAATATTGCAATTCACAGCTTTTTGTATGTGTTTATCAGATGCTTGATGGTTCAAACACTGTTAATTTGTGTGTGTGTGTGTGTGTGTGTGTGTGTGTACTGTCAAATCAGATCTGACTGGTACAGGAGGAGATTGTCCCTCCTTTTCCCGGCAGAGCATCTGGTGGATTCGAACCGTGAGCCTTTGGGATTGTAGTTGCAGCTCCTTGCCACTAGGCCACCAGAGCTCCCCTGTTAATTATTTTTTAATTTTATTATTTTTTGTGTGTATGCCGTCAAATCAGATCTGACTGGTACAGGAGGAGACTGTCCCTCCTTCTCCAGCAGAGCATCTGATGGATTCAAAGCGCCTATCTCTGGGATTGCAGTGCAGCTTCTTGCCACTAGACCACCAGAGCTCCCTTCACTGTTTATTTTTAAAAGTTGTTTTCTTTTAACTGTTGTTTTTACTGTTTGGTGCCTTCATGTCAAGTACGACTTACAGCACCCTATGAGCAACAGATCTGAACCCTGGTTCTATCCTGTGCCGTCCTCACAATCTCTGACAGTCCTGAGCCTGGTGCAGCAGTAACTGTGTCGATCCACCTGACTGAGTCTTCCTCTCCTGTGACTTCTCTCCAAGCATGATATCCCTCTCCATGGAATGGCCTCTCCTGGTAACAGGCCCAAAGTGTGAGAGATGCAGCTTTGTCATCTTTGCCTTCAAGGAGCACTCTGGCTGCATTTTGTCTAAAACGTATCTGTTCTTCTGGCAGTGCATGGGATAGTCAGTTCTCTTCTCCATCACCAAAGCTCAAAGGCACCAATTCCTCTGTTATCTTTAGTCACTGTATCTACTTTTCATTTTTAAAATGCAGGGGGAGGGGGAGATTAATCATGGAGTTGTACAATTTGATGGGTGGGGGGTGAGGGAAATTGGAAGAATCTAGTCTGGAAAACAATGTATTTGAATTTTGTAAATAAACTAGTATGATAAGAAAAAATTTTTAACTTAAATAAGAAAGTATTTTTCAAATTAATAGATTTCTACAGCACAAAATTTAAGACAATAAGAGTACAGAGGTTTTTGTTGGTTTTTTAGTTTTCAAGTCCATATCTCAAGTGTATAATCCACATATGACCTAGTGCTGGCTTCTCACTCATTTAAAACTAAAAAATTTTACTGCTTTGTTCTTATATGGTTATAATTTTATGAAAGTTCTTAATAAGTTTCCCATATATTTTTAGTGAAAACTCAAATGCCACTGAAGAAATAAACTGTTCAATTCTTGGTTCCCTTGTGTGAGTTACCACTGTCTATCATCCTACAAATTCAAAATAGCCTCGAATAAAGACACAAGATCAGCAGACTAGTCTTTAGAAACTCAAGCCTCTCCAATTTTGTGAAGATACAACTTACATGCACTCTTGTAAAGAAAAATATCTAGATAGTAAATTCAACCAAAAGCATTTCAATTTTTTACAGGCTTTTTTTTTCCATAATAAAATCAAACAAAATATAGTCACACAATATTTTGCTTAAAAACCCCAGAAGAGCCCAGATTAAACTTCTGTCTATTTCTACCATAAACAGACATATAAAGGGTGTGTGGTAAGTAACTGTGGAACTAATGGCTGAAGGATGAGAAGAAGACTTAAAAGGTGACAAAAATCTCAGCTTTGAGAAAACGATCCTGTTTGGATTAAGCTTCTAGTGTTGGCTGTTCTCACTTTGCCCACATCACCCAGCTGATAGGAAAAATGGAGTCGTTTAAAGGCAGCCAGCTGGAACAATGGACAGTGTCTTGCATGTCGGTGGAGTTTTGGAAGAATTACTACTTTGAACTATAAAACTACAAACATTTACAAAGTAATCATGTTCTCGGTCCAGGGATTGTTACTTTCTAATGCTTACCGATGATTTCACTTTTTCAGCATCAACTCTGTTGTAAACACTAGTGCAATACACAATCAGTATGAGGAGACTCAGAAGGAAGGAACTGCAGCTGACAAACTCAAAGAAGTAAAGTCCTCCGCACAGCGTGCACTGGGACACGACCTCTTCACTGATGAAGGCCAGCAGGGACAGCACCTACGAGGGAAAGGGGACACTTGACTTAGGTGGGTTCCGGGGAAGTCTGATGTATTTAGAAAGCACCATCGTCTGTTCACGGAGGCTCGGGCAAGCACGCCTGATTATCTTATGAGCCCTCCCCACCACCACCATCCACACAAGGAGTGACAGTCTGGTTGCCACCTTACGGCCCTTGCGCTGGCGCCGACTCCTGGCTGACCCTCCACCGGGTTTCCGAGGCTGTAGACTGTACCCTGCCCGAGAGGAGACTGTCCATTGCTCTCTGGTGGGACAGCTGGAGGACTCAAAGCACAGGACGTAGCCACAGGTTAGCAGCACAACACGCCCCAGACTATCCACCAACACTCCCATTTAAAGGGAAGGTGGTAACACGATCAAGTTTTACGACTACAAGTAGTTCTCATTGGCCACCGCGTGATGGAAGGACTGGAGACAGCCCATCAAATAGGGAAGCTGTAGAAGTCAGTCAAAGAAGAATCGATGCCCTTGAATTGTGGTGCTGAAGAAGAGGATGGAAAAGACCAGAGGTGACAAAAGAACAAACAGATGGGCCTTCTAGAAAGTACAACCTGAGTGCTCCTCAGAAGCAAAGATCAGGGAACTTCTCACACTTCGGTCATATTCTCAGGAGGAAGCAGTGCTTGGAGGGACGCATCCTACTGGGAAACGTGGAAGGTCAGAGAAAGAGGAGCCTCAAAGACATGGACTGATAGAGTGACTCTAACAGTGAGCCTGGCCCTGGGGCAGGAGAGGGCGAGGTGAGGACGGCTTCTTCAAAGGTGGCCAGGTTGTAGCTGACTGACCCGTACAGCACCTACCAACAGTAGGAAGTCAGGTGAAATGCAATCGTCAGAGCCCAGGTGATGGCAGCGAAAAAAAAGTTAATAGTTAACTGAATGATGTGGAAACAGCCTGGATCTTGCAAGGTAAATAGAAATAAAGTGGGAAACAAGACAGAGGTACCTTAAACACTGCATTTTACCATAAATCAAAATCGTGTACACCAATCTTTCTGCATGGGGCCAAGGCCTTTTCGGCTGACCAGAATTTCACATCCTCTTTTCTTCATTAATCGCTGCTCACCAATAGGTGGACATTGTGAATCCACCAGCTGCTTGCCATGAAAGAACAATGGTCCACCACAACAAGATAAAGGTAAACAACCCAATTGCAAAACGGGCACATGGTATGAACAGACACTTCACCAAAGAAGACATTCAGATGGCAAACAAGCACATGAAGAAAGGTTCAAAATCCCTAGCTCTAAGAGAGATGCAAATCAAAACAACTAGGAGATATCATCTCACCCCAGTCAGAATAGCAAAATTTAACAGAACAGCAAACAAATGCTGGAGAAGTTGTGGAGAAACTGGAACCCTTATTCACTGTTGGTGGGAGTATAAAATGGTGCAACCACTATGGAAGGCTGTATGGCGCTTTCTCAAAAAGTTGCAAATAGAAATACCATTTGACCCAGCAATTCCACAACTGGGAATATACCCTAAAGAAACCGTAACTGCCACGCAAGCAGATATATGCCCACATATGTTTATTGTCACTTTGTTCACAATAGCAAAGAGATGGAAACAATTCAAGAGGCCATCAACAAAAGAATGGATAGAGAAGCTCTGCTATATTCACAATGGAATACTACACTACACTGAAAACAAGGAACTCACAAAATACTATTCAAAATGGGTGACCCTGGAGGACATTATGCTGAGTGAAATATCTCAATCACCAAAAGACAAATACTGTATAATGCCACTGTATAAAACAGGACTGACATGGGGGCTAGGGGGAAACTAAGAAAAGAAGGGCTATATAATGGCATTGAAACAGACGAGGGAGAGAACTGTATAAAAGGAATATATGATTAGGTATTATTGGCATGACAGGAGTCCAGAATAAGAGCTGCATAGTGAAGTGGTCTGGGGTACGGGTGGGGGTCTGTAAAGCAATGAAATAACTTTTTTCCTCAGAGAAAAAAGGGATGGGGGGGGATGTGCAACAATGAATAATTGGAAACCCAAGTTCTTTATATACTTTCATTAAAATCTCAATTTAAAAAAAAGAAAGAAAGAACGAACAATGGCCAGTCTCCTCCTGCACAGATTCTCAGCCTTGGAGACGCCATGGAGGGCGGTTATGAGTCAGGCGGACTTACCGGCAGTGTGGAGACTTCCAGACGGTGTGAAGCAAGATGAGCCACCGGGAAGCAGCACACAGGACCCTCGCGGGGGCCACCAGCATCCCTGCCTCACGGCCATCCTGCTCTCAGGCCACAACAGACGTTTAGTCACTTCCCTTCCAACACAACTTTCTTTTCAGAGAAATAATTTTCCTTTCCACACTCAGTTAGTTTTATAATGCTTAATTACATGTTCAATTACAAAAAGCATAATTAGGACAAACTGGTTTGAGAAAACCGAGTACGTTGGCTGGCTGTGAGGGGGCAGCATGGTCAGGACTCTTCAGTCAGTGGAGGTCTGGTGGGGGGTCTCTGGTTAACTCAGTGCTTTAACACGCCCCCACTGTACTGCTGTTACTGTGTAGTAATAACCAACTGGTGCCTCGCTGCAGAAGTTTGAGCTTGTCCTATTTGTTTTAAGAGGCGAAGGTACAGAGGAGAGAATAAACTCCATTTTATGCAAGGAACCTCGAAGAGAGTTAAACCGAGCTGTCTGGCTGGATGTATGAGCTTGAAGCACAGAGGAGAGGCCTGAGAGGTCAGGGAGAAGGAGGAAAGTTAGTCTTCACAGAACTCTGAGGACTCTCAAAGATTTAATGGCTATGCAGACGAGGAGAGCCCAGCAAAGGGATGAACAGATAACCACGGTTAGCAGGGCAAGAGAAAAGTCTTTCTATAGAGAAGGCTGATCCACTTGGAATAGTCAGATACTACTTGGAAATGAAATAAGAACCCTGAGCTACAAGAAGGGTGTTTCTAAAGACGAGGGAGGCTAACAGAATGATCTGTACAGAGGGAATTCAGGGCTGCAGCTTGGAGCAAACTCCACCTAGAGGTAAGAGGGTGAGAAGAGGCGTGTGCACGGCAGTGTGTAGGTTTCGTGGAAGCCAGGGAATTTCCATCTGAGTGCTAGAACTATCTAAATGACTGACCACCTGTCAAAGTCAAAAGGGAAGTGCCCATCTCAAAAGGCTGCATACTCATTTAATTTACCCAGCGTTCTTGTGTAAACAAAAACCAGAGATGAGAAGCTAGTTGGCAGCTGCCAGGGCAGAGGGCAAGGGTGTGACCAGAGAGGGGAGGCGCCCCAACCCTGCAGTGCCAGAAGCAGCCTACATGTCCACTGCGGTCACCATTACACCCAGCTCCACGTGTGACACAACACACAGAACACATGCACACACACACACACACACACACCAGGGCTTCCCTAGACATGATGGGGAGCAGTTTCCTGTGAATCTGTAATTATATCAAAATAAAAGTTGAAAAGAAAACCAAATTACCTATAAAAGGTTATCTGTTGTATGAAACACAATGTAAATGAAAGTATAAAACAGAAATGTACATGAGTGAAACAGAATGTAAAGGAATAATCGTATACCAACCAATACCAAAAGGGGAGCGGTTATCCAATCTCCTCTCCTGAGATTAGAAGCCTTGGAGGGTCAGTTCTGAGTTAGGGTAATGAGCTCAGCATTTGTACGCCTCTGAGGGATTCTTCCCAAGCCCCTCCTACTGACAATACAAAATTCCTATAACCCCACATCTTAAAAGAATCTATAAAACAAAAATAGAACCTACCATTGTGACTTCCTGTCGTGGCTGGGGCATCAGATAGCCCAGTGTATCACAATCAACATCCTTTAGACGCATGCTGGGCAAGGCATTCCCAGTCCTTACACCACAGGGTGCAGAAGGATGTCCCAAGACAAAGGCCCCACGGTCACTGTGTAAAGGTGCTTCCTTAATCTCCCATGATCATAATGACATGATGAGTTTTTACATGACACAGCAAAGTAAAATACTCAATGTCTAATATTATATTTGCTTTATTTTGTTACTGTGTTAAATCTTGTTCAAGCTCTAGGCCTTTCTTTATAAGAAAGTCACAAAACATACAACTAAAGGTCAATTAACTATGAAAAGCTATCAGCCTAAAATGGTAATTGAAGTCTGACATAGTCGATCTTGAACCATTCTTGCTACAATAATTAGATTACCAGGAACACTTTTTTGTGGGAGTTACATGACAAGATAATTTTATTTGGACACAGAGAGAGAACTATAGTCAATCTCAAATTACAAGTCTTGCTCCAAATTCACCTTGTAGTAATTAAGCACTTCTAATGACCGTGAGCCTCAACAATGCCAAGTGCATGGAGATTTACTAGTTCTTGTGTCAGGAGGGGCCAGTCCTTGGAGAAGAGCATCATGCTTGGAAGGGTGGAGGGTCACTGCAGAAGAGGAAGACCCCTGATGAGATGGAGTGATGAGGTGACTGTAGCAATGGGGTCAGGAGTGTCAAAGACAATGAGGTTGGCTCTGGACAGGGGCAGAAGATTCAGAGCCATTCATTGTTCATAGGGTCAGTATGAGTCACAGTCAACTGATGACATGTTAACCACAGCACTCCTTTGTTTACTCTTTCTATTGTCATCAGGTGGCTTAGTGGTAAGGAATTGTGCTACCAGCCCCAAGGCGAGCAGTTCAATCTCCCAGCTGCCCTACAGGAAGGTGAGCTTCTCCTGTGTGATTTACTTCTCTGAAAACCCACTGGTTCAACTATAAGTCACTTTCCCACTTGATAGCACACAATATTCCCTCGTCAAATAGTGAGCTCTGGTGGCCAGTGAAAAGAAGTTGCGCTCCCAATTCAAAGGCAAGTGGCTTGAAGATGGGCAGTCTCTTTCTATGCTGTTTCAGCCTCTAAAAGTTTCAGCTACAAGTTTGTTCCGACTCAACGGCATCACGACAACGTTCCCTGTCACAAAAGACATTGGAGGTGCAAGAGTTAAGCACCTGG